AAGCACGGTCTAACGCTCATCATTGATACAAACAACTTTACTAGTGTCAAAATTGTGTGTTCTGATCTCGTCTTCGCTGAGCTATCAGATACACTAATTCCTATTTCTCGTAGTAAAGTCATAAAATAATTTGCTATAGGTGCTCCAACGAGACATATTTGGTTCAACTCTTCGAAGCTTCATTGAATCGTCGTAAGTTTCCACACAGAATTAAAAAAGAAAACCTTCACTTCTCTTACGAGGCGACCCCGGGTGCTACGCGCACTTTCTATTAAGATATATACCGGATTGTGGAGCTCGACGAGCATAGTTCATTCTGTAAAGTATTGGTCCCCACACCTAGCCATTCTCGAGTTCTCATCGTTTTATTGGATTTTCGACCTTATGACAAGACATACATACAAAAATCAAATGTTGAAATTTCGATCTGAAAATTTGCGCAAAAGATAGATCTAATGATCTTTAAAATAGCTCCAAAGTTTCAGCCCAAATAAATGTTCTCTTCACAAGATATTCGATTTTCAAATAAAGCTTATATTTTGCAAAATGTTATTAAAAAATTGGAATTTCTTGAAAATTCAGTATCTTGTGAAGAGAACATTCGTTTGGAGTGACACTTTGGAGATATTCTAAAGGTCATTAGATCTATCTTTTGCGCAAAATTTCAGATTGAAATTCCAACATTTGATTTTTGTATGTATGTCTTCCCATTAGGTCGAAAATCTAGTAAAACGATGAGAGCTCAAGACCGGTTAGGTATGAAGAAAAACGCTTTACCGAATGGACTATGCTCATCGAGCTCCACAATCTGATATATAACTTAATACAAACCACGAGTGGCACCTACAGTTATCTCCTCCTTAGTTGACTTGTCTGACTAATGTTACATCGCCGAGAAAGCTTTCAATTTTCCAGAGCAATCTTGAGCTCGATAGCGATGGACGAAATAGTAGTCACTCACAGGGATAGTAAGTGACTGCTATTTCGTCCATCTCTAATGAAAAAACAAGAAGTAACAATTAGAAAAATGAGATAATTTCTACAAAAACACCTGTATAATTATCATGTAAAACAATAATCCATCATTGAGTGTGATTTTTGTCAAAAATCAATAAACATTGATTTGTGATAAAGAATTACTAATTCTAAAAATGTTTTTCTACAAAAAATTATAAAAAACTGATTTTATTTGTGAAAAAATTACTTAATTTAAATTAATTTTTTCACAAATAAAAACTTACTCAAGTAATGAATGAGCAAAATATTATGCCAGAACTGAATCACCGTTTTGTTTTGTGTGAACCATTTCTATGTCTAATTCGGCATGACATCAATTCTGACTTGGATATTTTCTGAGTCACTCCTTCGCCATCGCTGACTAGATATAAATCCAAACTTTTACATACACTGTCATGCCCTCGCAGGGTTGAGAAAAGAGATCTGTTCTAAAGCTCAAGAGAGAACGTCTCCAACTGTCAAATCGCTTTTCGCTTGAAACTATTGCCATTCAATTGTTCTTGGTGAGTAGTAAAAAAGTCTGTTTTGGTTTGGTTTTCCAGTCTTCTATTGTGAACTTATGAGCGTTTTACTCGATTTTTGGGCTATGAGCATAGGATCTCTGAGAACCTGAATGATCGAGTTTTGAGCTGAAATTTCGTCCAAATTATAGGTTTTATAGTCACTAGAAATCCTTCGAAGTTTGAGCCAGAACGAACGCATTCTAACCGAGATATTCACATTTTAAAAAACACCTGTTTTGGGCTGTGCTTCAAAACAAGGACATTTCAATGACAAGCTGATATCTCGGTAAGAATGCGTTCGTTCTGACTCAAACTTTGGAGGGTTTCTAGTGACTATAATACCTATGTTTGGACGAAATTTCAGCTCAAAACTTGATCAATCAGGTTCTCAGAGATCCTATGCTCATAGCTCAAAAATCGAGTAAATCGCTCATAAGTCGACAATAGAAGACAGAAAAACCAAACCAAAACAGACTTTTTCACTACGCACCAAGACCAATCGAATGGTAATAGTTTCAAGCGAAAAGTGCTTTGATAGCTGGGAATGTTTCCTCGTTAGATCTTCTAGATACTTAGACCTATTATCGCAGATTTATAGAAGCTTTTCCAGAAAGTTTCAAAGATATATATACAATTAGCATAAAGAAATAGTTGGTTTATGACTTTTGTTTTTGAGAATTCTACTTATCAGTAGGCTAGTATGAGTAGAATAGAGTATCGTTTGAATCCAAGAAGTGACATATATGGAGTAACATTTAATAGTAGAAAAATAACTAGGAAATTTTTTGAATTTATTCGAGATTAGACTGCTGTTCTTGATAATACATCGTACAGATTTTAGCCCGTTTATTCGAAGTTTGAATATAAAATCTGATGGATTATGAATAAATTTATCTTATCTGTAAGATCAACAGCATCAAATCATTGTTTAAATAAACCAATATTGCTATCTGCTTCATCTTCTGTACTATCAATAAGTGTAAAAGTTGATCCATCATAATTGTTCACATTATTATTATTACAAGCCGCTTGTTTTCCCGCTAATAAAATACCTAATCGTGCTAAATTTGATTTATTTGTACTTATTGTTGTTGTTGCTAGTAGAGATACAGATGAATTATTAATTCCTATTGATTCGTTATTAACTTCACTTTTTGATAAATTATTTTGTTTACGAATTATATTTAAAGATGAATCTGTTAATGGTTGTATTGAATGTTCAGAATCTGATCATGAACGTGATTGTTTTCGTTAAGAAAGATCAAGCATTGAAGTTGAATCATTTGTTACAACGAGAGAATCAGTTGATCTTAAATACGATCCATGAGGAAACAAAATAAATTGCTCTGTTGATAAATCATCTTTAAATAACTAGAGTAAAATCTAATAAATAAATTATTTATATACATGAAATAAACTTACATATTGTGCATGATTATTTAAGTGCCAACATTGAGTTAATTTATCGATTAATTCATAAATTTGTTGTGGAACACGATAATAATATTCCAACATGATGATATCGACATGATAATCCAACACGCATATATGCATTTGCTGATAACGGACTTAATAAAATTTTAACATGTTTTGATAATGTACGATCAGTTTGTTTTGATGAATCTAAATATTTCAAGTCTTTCTTTTTTTTGTTCCTTTTTGAAAGAATTTCTTTCTTTATACCAATTGTATTCGTTATTTTTGGTGGTTTTAATGGTTTACTAATAATTGATACATGTTCTCGTTATCCTTTTACACGTAAATATGCATTACCATTACGAATAAGTTGATGTAAAACAAATATTGTTGGTTTTTTATCAAAACCTATTTAAATAAAAAGAAAATTATTTGATAAAAAAAATTTCTTTTTTTTTCTTTCAAGAACTTACATCGAACTTTTGATTTTAAACATGAATAAGCAAGAATAGAACATAATTCAAGTGAATCAACATTAGATTTTTCTTCTAATAAAAGAAGGATAAAAAAAATGAATATTAACCTTCAGTAAATGTATATAGTTTTGAAATTGTACAAAATGAACGATAATAAAAACGACGTATTGGACCAAATATACGTTGTTGTGCTTCAGGATTTACAAGACAACGTCGTGTATTAAAGAATTGACTGAATGCTTCGAAAATTTTCCCATATTAACAAAGATGAAAACAAAAAACAAACTAATATAGATTGATAAATAAATATCATCATACAATTTGAAGTTCACTAACAAATTTTTCCTTGTTCTTCCATAGTACATTTTGTTTTATCTGGTGATTTAGGTGCCACCTCTTTGACCTTTTTTTATTTTAGGTGCTGGTGGTCAGTGTTTTTAATGAAAGAGTGTATCCAGCAAAACAAAGTGTACGGTACCCTAATGAAATAGAATTTACATACTGTTTTACACGCTGAAGAAAAAAAATAGTGTGTACACTGTACACACTGAATTTCCTTTTCACACGATGTTTTTTTTACGAAATCCTTATCCTTTTCTGGTAGACAATGCAAAAGGTTTGTTTCTTGAACGCCATGAATACTGTACATATAACGTCCAATAGAAATAATAGATATGGGCGCCATTATATGCCCCATGTACAATGTTCACATCAGTTACGTATATTGCCTTTCTTACCATTTAAAATGAAAGTTAGGCATTACTGAAATTTTTTCCGAAGAGCTTAAAAGTATGTGACAAAAAGAAATGCCAGAAGATAGAGGTATTCCTTCAGCTGATGTTCGACTAGTAACATGATCTCTGGTGTTTATCCTGATGAAAAGTATTCCACAGTGTGATTTAGAGAGTGAACACTAGCTATAATGCTATCAATGGAACATTAGCTAAATGAATATCTGTGGTTGGCCATTCGATTCATATTTCTTGTACATTTTGTACACTTTGGTTTAAAGAATAACGTGTATGAATACATAGTGTCCTGAAAAACAGAATGTATCTGTACATTCTATCTCAGATTCCTATTAAAAACATTGCTGGTGGTAGAATCTGAACAGCTAAGTAAAATCATAATAATAAAAATATTGTGATTATTCATAGTATTCTTTACTTGAACTACGTTCACATTTTGGTCGTTTTGTTATTTCTTTCATACGAGATGTAATAGAACCTTCAACAACATGTATTATTAGTGGTTGAGATTCGATTTTATTATCGTCTATTGTTTCATTCATGACATTTATTTTCTAGAAATATAATTGATAATTAGGGTACTCACCGTATTGATCGTGTGAATAAGAAAAAAGAAAAAAACATTGATTGGTTAATTTTTTTTATCTATAAGTCTGATAGAACGAGAGATGGTGTACTTTTCTAAATCAACGAGAGCAATGAACTAAAAGAACTGACTCAAAATAATTTTTGAAGATCTTCATTCAAAAATAAAATATTAAAAAAATATGAAGAAAAATAATAGTGATGTAGGATAATTTAGAATGAAAAGCAACACTGATACGAAAAAAGCTGTAATGAAATTTTAACAAAATGATCAAACACTTAAGGGTGTGGGTGTGGGGTGTGGGGTGGATGTGGAGGAAAAGGGAGAGACTGATGCATCCACGCCCATTTCGACACCACACCCACACCCATGACGAATAGACGTTGAATGTGATCATATGATTATCTGTCGAAGAAACATGTCTTGTTGATAATTATTAGAAAAGAAAAGTTTATTCTCATAAAATATTTGTCAAATATTTGCTTTCATTAGGTTTTACAGTTTTTTCTCAATTATCACCATGATAGGAAAGTTAGCATTAAGATGACATCGATTTGCTGGTGATTGAATGATAATAATTTCAAAGTACGGTATTAAACTCATAGGGGGATTATAATCAGCAGATAAAGATCTTTTTTAATAGAAATTATCGAGATGATTCTATAGTACAATTCTCGAGATTTTTTCGTATAAAGATTGTTTGATATACACAAGTATATTGACAATAATATTTGTGATAACGTTAGACAATATGCAAATTGAAAATAACTACGAGCAATAAATCATGAAAGAGATAAGAGCAGAAAACTCATTATTCATATATTGCTTTCATTATCATCATTTAAATTATGATTTTTCCAGTTTTTACAAAAGAGCTTCCATCTGTTCAAAAAAATTAAAAAAAAAGTATTCATGATATGTATTGAAAATCTATTAGAAACAACTCTTTCAGATTATTCCATTCTCCTGGAATAATTATGTCTCGCTTTCTTATTTTACTTGTCTGCTTGATTCAACATCCTGATTCTTTGAATACTGTTGAAATTCTTGGTCTTTTCCCTGAATATCACGATGTATTTTCTCGGTATTTGAACGCAAATCAAAAATTCCCATTGGTCAATTCAATCTATGGAAATGTTTCGCGCAGCTATTATTCTTGCCGATCGCTACAAGATCTATGTGGTTGGTCATCCTATCAATGGCACTATTCTTCAGACAAATACAAATAGTAATGGTTTTGCTGAACTTGAGCTTGTCTGTCGATCAATTACTAATAAAACAGAACTGCATGTTCTAGGTGTTGACGGGCCAACAAGTTCAACTAGTGCACGCTATCTTGCTCCATTTGCGGCACGTATAGGTTTACCCCTTGTTTCTTACACTGCAACTAATGCTGATCTTGACGATACATTTAATTATCCAACATTTTATCGTACTATCCCTTCGGATATTCTTACGGCTGAAGCTATTGTGAAATTGCTCAAATATTTTTCGTGGATACCTTGTTCAATAATTATTGGAAATGATGATTATGGTTATGGTGGATTGAAACTATTATCAGAAGTTTATTATGCAAATTTGTCTATTCAAGAGCGATTAGTATTTGATCCACGAGTTGATAAATTTCAAGCTGATTTAAAGCAAACATTAGAAAAAAGTCGATCTCGTATTGTACTAGTCTGGGCTAATCATAGTTCATCTACAAGAATTATTCAACATGCAGTTTTTGAAAAACTTCTCGATGCAAACTACGTATGGATAACAACAAATATGGTAAATGTAAAATATTTTAAATTTTAAAAGTTTATCCATTTTCTGGAAGAAATTAAGGGATCATTGAAAGTAAAATCTACAGATAGATATGCATTTCTGGCGACACTAACAACTTATTTTGTGACTCTTAGTCATCATAGCTTAATCAATTCATTTTAATTTCTATTGTAACACTACTATTTTCAGATTGATTTCAATGCATGTGTGGGTGTGGGTGTGAGTGTGGGTGTGGGGTGTGGGTGTGGGTGTGTGGGTGTGAGTGTGGGTGTTTAGATTTGTTTCTATGAATGGAGATAAAGAGTTATCACCTCTCATACCAACATCTCACACCCACATAAAGACACCGACACACCCATTCACACCCCCACATCCACACCCCACCCCCATACCCACACCCCCCAGCCCCTAGTCCCACCCACGCCCATAGTGCATTGGTTGGGACTCAATAGACATATTCGCAGACTTCTGCTCTCTATACCTCTATCTCGTATCTTATCTACAAAACTTTTCAGCATTTTTTCCAACTTACTCGAATAACTCTATATATAGGCAGTCGCGATGCACTGTCTTTAATAGCATTTGAAATCCTTTTTGACGTCAGGTACAACTCATAACTGAGTACGAAGCACAAAATCATAGATGGCTTTATTACAGAGGAACGAATTTGGTATCAAGGATATTGGCCGTATCGTGACAGTTGCTGACAATGATATGGCAAAATTGATGTACTATTTTAATTGTGTTTGTTTCTCAATAGATTGTAATGATGATCCAGATACATGTCGTCTAACTAATTATAGCAATTGACCAAGTTTATCAGTAAATGAACAAAAAAATGCTCGTTTTTTGCTATGCTTTCAGTCCAGATGTCTTCGATAATAAAGTGTTCTTTCAAAGTGATGCATTGTGTCAAAATTCATTGAATAAATTCTACGAGATCAGTCAAGTTCGTCATCAAATTCTTGCTGTGTCGTCTATCATAGTTGCTGGTCGTGCTCGACAAGTAAACAAGATTATGACGTACAAAATGTCATGGATGCGCTCTTACTATATTGAACCGATGCAACGGTTAGCTAAGCGTTTAGTAGATCAACAACCACAGCGTCAGCGTCAATCTTTAGCTTGTATTATCTCATAAACAAAACCTTTTATTTTCTTTCGTATTCTTATCAATCATGAATTTTATGTATATATGCTCCTCTTAAAAAAATACTCGAGACGATATTGCTGTGAGAACAAAAGCTCGTTTTTTTCTTTTTTTATACTTCCTAGCTTATTGATGGATCGAGGAAAAAATTATTTTGATAGTTACAATCCTCATACAGGTTGATTGTTGACTTTTGCATTCGTCAAGTAGTGACTGTGTTTCTCACTCAAATGTTTTTGCCTGATAAATTGGGAAAATTGAAACAAAGCGAAAAAAAAGGACACGATGCGACTTTAATAAGACTGTTATTCGACGTACTTTGGGTGTGGGTGTGGGTGGATGGGTGTGAGTGTGGGGTGTGGATGGGTGTGAGTGTGGGGGGGGTGTGGATGGGTGTGTGTATGTAAATCTTCTCTTTAGCAACACCGATACCCACATCCACACCCACACCCACACCCACACCCACACCCACACCCACATCCACACCCACACTCACACCACCACCCAATTAAAATTTAAATTGTGTTTTTCTTCTTGTTTCATTCGTATTATCAACATGACTATTACATACGTACATAGTTCGAGAAAGATATCATACACATGAAGTTCTTGGCTTTTCTCTCGTTCTTATCAGCAAGAGAAAAAAGTTCTTTTGAAAAAATCGAAAAAAAACATATACAACATATGAGACAAAGTATTGAATGCGATAAAACGTAAGTGATGGTTGACATGAAACCTAAATGAAGGTGGGAAAAAATTATCATTTAATAAATAACGTTGTTGTCTTTTCCCCTTTGATTTGCTTAATATGCATCTAATGTATAAATACAAAAAGTGAATTCTGTCTAGGTAACAACTTATCCTACATCATTCACGCTTCTCAATCAGACAATAAACATTACATCAACAATGAGTCGACAGCGAAGACGACGCATTGCTGAAACCTACGTGATTATCTGGGTAGATGAAAAGATTGACCAGGACAATGAATATTGTCAGAATACACTTGTGCTGTTACGTAGTGTTGTAAATCAAGTCAAGCAATGTACAACAGCAGACAATTGTATTCAGCTACTGAACGAAAATCCTGAGAAAATATCATTTGTAATCTCTTCGGATGCCCTTGGACAACATCTGGTGCCAAATATTCATGATGTACCAAAATTAAGTAGCATATACATTTTGTGTGACAACAGACAAAAGCATGAAGTATGGACAGAGAGTTGGACAAAAATCAAAGGTGTTCATGCGTCCATGAAATCAATATGTCAGGCGTTACGGCTGACTGTCAAACAACACAATAAAGATAATATATCAGTCAGTATTATCGATGCGCTTGAAGGGAGCTCTAACGAAAATCTCAATCAGTTAGAACCATCGTTCATGTATACTCAAATATTCAAGGAAATCCTCCTTAATATGGAGCACGACCAAGAGGCCATCCAAAACTTGGTAACATTTTGGCAACAAGAGTACCAGGACAATGTTGAAACAATGAAAATTATTGATGAATTTCAACGCACGTACCATCCGTCTAAGGCTATCTGGTGGTACACACGCCAAAGTTTCACGTACGAAATGCTCAATCTAGCATTAAGAACATTAGACAGCGACATACTGATCAAAATGGGGTTTTATCTGTGTGATCTACATCGGCAAATTGAACAACTATACAACAAACAAATAAGCCAAGGTCATACGCACACATTTCTAGTCTTTCGAGGACAAGGATTCTCGAAAGTAGACTTCAAAAATCTTGTTAAAAAACAAGGTGGACTTATATCATTCAATAACTTTCTATCCACCAGTACCAATCGAGAAGTCTCGCTTTGCTTTGCTGAAAGTGCCTTAGAAGCAATTGATAAAGTCGGTATCCTTTTCCAAATACTTATCGATCTTACTGTCTCATCCACACCTTTTGCCTTCATCCAAGAGCTGAGTGATTTCGCTCAAGAAGAGGAAATTCTCTTTGGTATGCACACGGTTTTTCGAATTGGCGACATTCGAAGAATTGACAGAGATCGTCCACTGTACGA